AATCAAGCAGTAAATAATACCCTAATCAAGGAACTACCAGAGGAAAAAACAGAAGAAAACAAAACTCACACCCGCACCAACACTGGCAGGGCATACCAGAATATAAACAGAGAGCAAACCCCATTCCACTCTAGCACTGAAGATATTACCTAGCCGGGTAACGAAAATTATGAAATATCAGCCTTCTATCCCAACTTGCTAACTAGATAGGACTCCGGGTATACACAAATGGGATTTGCTTCGGAGTAAAGTTGCCTAGGATCACAATACATATCAATTACATTACAGAACTTAGGGTCCTTCAGTTGTTGTTGGACCTGCTAGTTTCAGGAAGCATAGCCATTGGGAATGATGCAACTTGTAGTTAACTCAACGTCTGGAATATCAGAGATCCCTGATCTCTGCATGACATATTAGAAAATAAGGCTGCAATCCTATCAGATGCTATGAAATGAATCAAATTGACTACATAACAGGAAACAGGATGGGGAAATCCAGGACACTTCTAGGTGCAGATTGTAGAACATATCATGGATTATTGATGTCAAATATATGAGTTAGCTTTAGAAAACAGAAGCGCGTAGATGTGCGAGCAAGATTTGACCTGAAGGACAGACAGAATATCTGATCAGTGTAAGAAACAGAATTAGTATGCTTCACTTATGTAATAGAGAACCTCAAGAACAAAAAGAAGAGATAAGAAACATGGTGAAAGCTGGAAAAAAATCCCCAAAACTTCAAAGAAGAAAAGATACAAGTGGCTTACACAATACGCTATCAGGGTAACCACGAAAAAATGGAGGAGAAAAGTCTTGCACAATAAGGACATATAGTGACCAAATGCAGACTTCCAACATCAAGCAAGAAAGGCCGAGAAAAAAAAAATCTCAGTTAGGAATGTCAACAACCAGAGGAACCCAACAAGATAAGAAAAGCAAGAGATGTGTGAGAAGACTGAAGAAATCACAGGAAAATCTGCAGCTAAGGTGGGAATATTCAACAAGAAGAAACCTAATAGAGGCAAAGGAGATTAATAGAAGATGGAAAGACTACACTTAATCTCTTTACCAGCAGGATTATTGAATGACAGAAACATTTTCAGAGGCAGAATATATTCAGCAACCGACTGCACTAGAAAGGGAAGAACAATAGGCAATAGGCTGGCTGTCAAATAGGAAAACACCAGGCACAGATTATGTACTCACTGAACTGTTTAAAGCTGCACAGGAAGAAGCTAGGTGTGAATAGCTCAGACAATATGGAACAAGACTGTGCTGCCTAGAGATCTGCAAAGATCAGTATATATAACTATACTGAAGGAAGGAAGTACAAATGAATGTGTACATTGCCAAACCACTGCACTCACTCCTCATACAAGGGAAGTTTTGTTTTAGATCTTACAAAAGAAGAGTAGAGGCATACACAGAGAGTGCAGAGGGACATGCAATCCAATTGCTAATGTAAGTGGGACACTAGAAAAAACAAGAGTATGTTAGATTTACCTTTACTTTATTGACTACATTAGCACCTCTGATTGTGTAGATCACGCTAGGATGTGGAATATATTAAGGCTAATGGGTGGGCTAGAACACGTGATTATTCTAACAGAAGGGAATATCTGTAGCTCAGGATGAACTGTGGTGTTCTTGGTGCTCTCTGAGCTGGGTTGTTTGCTTGCAGACGTTTCATTATCCAACTAGGTAACATCATCAGTGCTAGTGAATGTGGGGTTTGCTCCCTTTTTATATATAGTAGCTTGCCCTGCCAGTGTTGGTGGAGATGTGGTTTTCTCCTTGGTAATTCCTTGGTTGGGGTATTGTTCTCTGCTTGATTGTTTGTCTGGTCTTAATCCCTGCTTACCTGGATGTTGGTTGCTGGAGAAGATGTGTTCTGGTCTTTTTGTTTCCTTCTTAGCTTTTTTTTTATTGTGGCTTTTGAATGGTGTGTAAATGTGGCTTATCTCAAATGTGCCTATTGATGGCTTTGTCTAATGCCAAGCTTCCAGGAATCCCCTAGCGTTTCTGGATTTAGCTTGGTCTAGAATGTTCCGAGTTGAAACTGTGGTTGGTCTGTCCATGTGTTGTCAGATTAAGAAGTTTTTGTCGAGTCTTCTGACAGCTAGGTGGTGTTCATGGATGCGCTCTGCCAGTCTTCTGCCCGTCTGTCCTACATAGTGGTTGTTACAGTCCTTACTGTATGTTGTAGATGACTCCTGTTTTTTCTTCTTGGGCTACTGGGTCTTTTGGTTTACTTAAAACATTTTGGAGGGCTTTAGTTGGTTTATGTCTACGGTGATGCCATGTGGCTGCAATAGTCTGTTGGTTGTTTCTGATATGTTTTTGATGTATGGCAGAGTTATCCTTTTCATAGCTTGTGTTGGTTGTGCTGCCGTGGGTTGAATAGTCAGACACTTTTTGAGGTTGATGTTAAATATAAATGAATGTTGAGTTTTAACCTTGTGTTTGTATTATTTGTGTGCTTGTCAGCTGTCCAGGACTGTTTAACATAATATATAACATTTTCAAATAAATAAATTCACAGCTGAAACTAAATAAGTGAAAGTGGTAGATAGTTTTCTTTTCTTTGCTGAAGTAGAAATAAAATGGGCAGCGTGCTGGAGAAGTAAAGCGGTGATTAATCCTAGGAAAGAAGGAAGTGGCCAATTTAGACAAGATCATGAAGGGTAAGGATATTTCTATGACAACAAGGATCAGAATAGTTAAAGCAATGGTCTTCCTAGGAGTAACGTATGGCTGTGAAAGCTGGACATTAAGAAAGAATGAGAGAAAGAAGATAGACATCTCTGAATTATGGATTTAGAGATGGTTACTAAGTTACCATGGACTGCAAGAAGAGCCAATCAATTGGTCCAGGAAGAAGTAAATGCTGGCTGCTTCCCTGAGGTGATGATTAGCCAGTAGAAACTAACATACTTTGGACATGTGATGCAAACAGATGATGGACTAGAAAAAGGAGCTGTGATTAGCAAGGTTGAGTGAAGGGGAAAGAAGAGGAGGACACTAAATAAGATAGATGAACAAGATATCACTGGAATATCTCTAGAAGAATTGTGGTTCATCACTGGGGACAAGTCAAGATGGAGACCATTTTTCCATAACATAGCCAAGAGTTGGGGCTGAATCAGTGACACCTAGTTAATTTATCATATTTACCTAAGACCAAATCCCACCAAATAGATTTTTATTTTTATTTATTTAATCTATTTATATAGCTGCTCATCTCAAATACATGACTCTGGGCGGCTTACAATATTTATAT